AGTAGTAGTAGTAGTAACAACAATAGTAATAACAACGACTATACTAATAATCAAAATAACAACAAATTTAAAACACATATATATATATATATATGTGTGTGTGTATGTATATGTACCTATCGAATTAATTAGTAACCATAAATACCATACTGAAAGCCCTTCACAAGCAGGTGTAGCCCTGGAGACTTCCCCCGAAACCGTAAGAACTGATTCTCCGAGCGCCCAGCCGCACTGCTTCAAAGCTTGATGAGGCTGTTGGGTTTAGGGTTTAGGGTTCAGGGTTTAGGGTTTAGGGTTCAGGGTTTAGGGTTCAGGGGTTTAGGGTTCAGGGGTTTAGAGGTTTAGGGGTTTAGGGCTTAGGGTTTTGTCTTCTTCGCCAAGCCGTTGCTGTGAAACATGGCGGCATGGCGAGGCTCAGAACCCTCTTTGGGGCTCGTAGCTCACAGCAGCGTCCACATCGGACCAGGGCGAGGTGAAATGGAGCGTAGAGTAATGTAAGGTTTTGAAAGCAATATACCCTAGGACTTGATCTCCTAAACCAAGATTATTGTAAAAGGACCAGAAATAAGTGAAAAGATGTCAGCCTCGGCTTTCTTTTTGAGGACGAACTACCTACATCCTGCATGTTTCCGCATCAAATATATGGAACCTGCTCTCTCACACACCGGCTGTGCACATAGGTGCACAATTTTTGTGTATTTGCACATGCATGCATGCATGCATGCATCCATCCATCCATACATCCATACATCCATCCAGCACCCGCAGCATAAAGGCGTGCGTACTTACGTGCTTATTACGTTTCCACGTACATATGTCAGTACGTACATGCCTGAAGACATATAGGCGAAACTTGGATAGATAGAAAGCTAGCTGGACAGTCGGACAGACAGAAGGATGCGTAAATAGGTAGTCGAAGATGAAGTCGATTGTGAACAGCTGACGCCTGAGCTGAGCCTGAAACCATGCCTCCGACGCAAAAGCAGGTCTCTTTTCAAGAGACAACGGCGAGATCTCAACGAGATCGTCTAATCGGGTGTGGTGATTCAAAATAAACACACTGAAAAATCGTATGACGAAGCCAATGAATTTTCATCATGCTGCATGGCCCTCACCCGGCGACGCGCCAGGTGACCTGAATCGATGTGGCAGCACTGTTGGGTTCGGGATTTGGGGATTTCTTGGCAAAAAAATTCGGGCTGGCGTTTACCGGCCTTGCGTCCCGATGTGCATGAACCTTTACCCCCCTTCAAAAAAGTCAGCACAACATGTGACTCTTACAGAATAGCACATGTGAAAGATAAGAATCAGTATAGCACCCCGAAGCCGTAAGGTAGGGGTGTGAAGAGGTAGTACTCTTATTCCCTTTTGGTCCGTATATCATTGCACGAGGATACACCCCAAAGCCCCATTCTACTTGCAGACCCTAGATCATAGAACCCCTTATAGAAACCTTGTCGAGCCCTGTACAGCTTTCAAGATGGAACCCTGTTCCTGGTAGTATGGGAATGAAGTCCAGCGCATTGAAGTCAAAGCTTCCACTGCCATGTAGTCTGAGAAGGCAAACAGCCCATGGCTAGGGCAAAAGTTGAGGGCTTGAAAAGTCTTGGGAATCGGGAACTTGTAGTTCCAATGAGGAAAGCACTCTAATCGCTGAACCAAGAGCCCTCAGTCTGAAACAAAACTGCGGCGAGGTCACGTGATGACTTCCTCGGCTTTGGGAGTTTGGGGTTTATGGTCTAGGCCACTTCAGGGTTTGCACATTTGGGGGGTTTCGTGAATTAGGGGTGCCCCGTTTTGTCAGTCCTCACAAGGGATCCTCACCTTCAGGGGCATCCGGGTCCCTGATTTCCTGACACTCTTCTGTCATAGGGACCCTTAGGAGGGTAAGGGGGAGGGGGGTAGGGGACTATACTTAGGTCCTTGTTACGGGCATTGAGGCCCCCTAGCCCCCTCCCCCCTTGAGGGTCCTTATGATTTTGTGCTGAGGCAAAGCTCACCTTCCCTACCGTGACTTCCCCAGGATGCATCAGACGTGTCTGCACAGCTAAGAGCTTAGGAGTAGCCCTGGACATAGACGCGGACATGCCGTGGAACAGACTACAATCTCCTGCTCTTGTCAGTGGGAGACTAACCCAAAAATTCAATGTTGAGGCCTGAATTATCTAAATAGGCTTTGGGGCACATTGTACCATAATTACAGGAGGATTGTAAGGGACTAAAATAGGATTGTATCCCGCCTGTTTTGCATGACCCGTACTAGCCGTCTCTGACTTCCCGGCAAAGGGGCTTGCAGGAACTTTTGGCGCTGCAACATCTCCTGGCATCATGCTGCGATCTTCCCCTCAACCCTAAACCCTAAACCCTCAACCCTCAACCCTAAAGCGTAGCAGGCCCTGAACCCCTTAGCTATCCCCTGAATCTTTCCCCGTGAATTTCTCCCCCTTCTGACTTCCGTTAAAGCAAAAGTCTTTCCGTGGCTGTCACGTCTCGCAGGCCAAACCTCAGAAGTCCCAACAGATATCCTTTCAATGGCCCTGGCACTAGAAGGACTCTCTTCTTGGCTTTATCTTCAGGCCCCTTACTTTCCGAACTCCCAAATGCTCCCAAAACGCGTCGGGCCTTGACTCCGTAGGCCAATGTGGTGGTGTCCGTGTCTTTCTCGTGTGTCCGAGACCAGTTATTGCTGGTCATCTGTAAGTACCATCCTTCGTGTTTAGAGCTTGTGGATGTAGGGCGTTGGGTTTTGGGTGGGTTTACGGTTTTGGACACACAGCAGGCTCATCTCTATATTCTCTATGATTCCGGAGACTGAAAAACCAAATAGCCAGCAACATCTTTCCGAGCAGTTATGGCCTCGTTAAAATTATGCACATATACACCAACCGAAACCTAAACCTCAAACCCTAAAACCAAGGTCGAAGTTAGGCCAAGTCCTTCTTGCTAGAGTCTCATAGTCTGAGTTTGCCGGAATCAAGCAGGAGCCTGACTCAGAAAAGACCCCCCAGGCATATCAAACCGTCGGCCGCTTCATGAAGCCCTGATGTCCAAATCTCAACATCCTAGCCCCAAGATTAAAGTTTAGGGTTTAAGGGTAGCCCCAAGATTAAACCTTCACTTCGCACAGTGACCGCTGCCGTAATAAGAAAACAACCCCGGATTGCTTCCGATTCCTACTGAGGCCATGACTTCGGGAATCTTCCACGGAGAGTTTGCTGCGGCTTATGCAGGTGGAGAAGATGAACCTTGCGGGGGCCGATGCCGGCTTCAAGCTTAGAGTTTTGAATTTGGGGTTTAGGGTTTAGGGTTAGAGTTTTGAATTTGGGGTTTCGGGTTTAGGGGTTTATGGTTTAATAGGGGAGTTCAATGATTCAAGATGTTCAGGCTTGAATGTGATGGGGCTTGTACGGCTTCGCATGTGGCATTTTGTCTCTTGGGGTGGACTTCGGGTGAAGAGATTGGGGGACGGGGGGGTGGAGCTAACGGACGCTGGAGTCCGAGTCCTTCAGCTCTGCTGGATGCTGATTGTGACAAGTTTATACTGCTGCTCCCCGAGAAGAGCATTGCAAGACCAACACCAGTCCAAGAGCGGCTGTCAGAACACCAGAACTCACGCAAAATTATAGACATCTCAGGGCTGATGGCGGCAGTAACTGAAGAAGCGATTGGATTTAGATCTCCCGAAGTGCACTTGAATACACATACCAGTGTTTTTTAGCAACAGTCAAGGCACTGAGACTATGAACATAAGAACTAACCGGCGGGGCAGCTTTCCGAATAAACAGCCAAGGTGCGGGCCTGCCAGTTGAGGGTAACTAGCAACCACCCGGAAGAGAAAACCGATAGCTGCATGCCGCAGTCTAGCAAACATCTAACCTAACCCACCCACGCTATGCGCCGATGAAACAGAAAGCCAAGCAAGCAACAGAGAATGCAAAATCCCAGAAGACTCCACATTTGAAAGCCAAACACCTTTCGCCCATAAGAGCAGAATTCGCCTGTTCTGCACGACGGAGATGAACTCGGCAAAGTCGGAGAGATCCACGCTAATCATTTTGACCTGTTCACACATGTTCGGAGATCGGTGCTTTGCCGGGTACTTCCTCGCGAATACATGAACCAAAACTCCAAAACCCGCAAAACCCAAACCCTGGACCCTAAAGCCCTAAACCCTCAAGCCCTCTAGGATCGAACCACGTCCTTACTCGGACACTCGTTGAACGTAGTACATAGAATCTGCACGATGGTTTATTCGAAGCCTTTCATTTAGAGCCTGTAGGGGATATTGAGTACACCTCCTACATATCTATATATATGTATACATATATGTGTATACATATATATATATGTCGGAAGAGCTTCTGCAGTGTTCGAGTCCATCTTTAAGGCCTTTGGGCTGATTGGCCAGAGCCCCCGCCCTGATGAACGTGGGGTTTCAGGATTTGGGTGTGTATACCCATAGGCTCCATAGTAGCTCCTTTTGGGGATTACCTCATAGGATCCTAAATATGAACCACAAAAAGGAACTACTATGGAGCCTATGGGTTTAGGGTTTAGGGTTTAGGGGTTTTAGGGTCTAGGGTTTAGGGGTTTAGGGTTTAGGGATCAAAACCCTCGTCCACAACCCTCCTAAAGCAATTCCCGAAGCGCAGAATTTGAGGCTCACGGCCGGCTGTCAGCCCTAAACCCTTAACCCTAAACCCGATCTCCCTTTCACGTTGAAGCGGTCAAAGCCCGAAGGAAGGGGGGGCCTCTTGTCCCTGATGTAGCTTTACACTCGCTTGGTGCAAGTGCTCGATGAGGTGGACCATCACCTGCTGTTCATGGTCTAGGGTCTTTTTAGGGGTTTGGGGCCTACCTGGATTACCTTTAGAACCTACCCTTTTTAGGGCTCCTTATTACATGATTTCCTTATAAAGTCCTCAAAACGGTAGGTCATCGGTTAAGGTTTTGAGTCTTAGAACTCTGGGGCTCTGGGCTAGGGTTTATGGGTTTGGGGTTGAGGGTAAAATGGCTTCGCATATCTTCAATCAGAACACTGGCTCATGCCAGCACCTCTGCCCACAACTGAAGCCACAACCTCAAACAGCAAAACCCAGACCCCGAACACCCAAGAAAAGCAGGAAGCTCGATGAGACTTTCCTGCTTGCTGCAGTGAGGTAAATATCATGTGACAGGCGGTAGACTGCACAGAACATTCTCTTCCGAATGCAAGTTGGAAGTCTCCCTGTCCTGTGTCATCCGCATACAATGCTCCATCTCGATATGTAACACAAGGGCCTGAAGTCTTATTTAGATGTCTTTAGATCAGTCTTTTCGAGGTAAGAGGTAAAACAAGTGCAACAGGAATCGTAAGGGAATAACATTATTAGCGAAGATTCAGGCTTCGATTTCCCATGCCTGCTTGAGGCACTGCTGCTGCTTGACTCAGGTCTGGTTTGAATCCTCCATCCTGACTTCACATGTGCCAAAAACCTCAAGCCCTGTGCCCTAAATGCCCCAAATAAACCCCAACAACGTACAACCCGCCAACCCGAAGCAAGAAGATACCACAAAATGCCCTCTGAATATATCTAACTATAACAGACTATACCGTATACTGCAGTATACTATATCGCTATACTATAGTATACTATACTATTTTTTGCATTTATTTCAGGCCACTGCCTCAAGAAGAAGGTGGAGCCCCACGTTGCGGTTGTCTTTCGCCTTGCCCACACAGTCGGGCAGGAACTCGCACAGAAAAGCCTCAAGCGAAGGGAGTTCAAGTGGTATTAAAGGCCACTAAATCGTGGCTGACGGAATTTTAGATGTCAGGGCTTTCTAGGTTCGTTCTGAAGGGGGTTTTGACGGTTCACGGCATGTTGAAATTCAGGGCTCTTCGGCCAAGAGCTGAGGTCTCCTGTTGGTGAGGGGAGGGGGGGGGAGGGGGGTGGATGTTGGGTTGGGAGAGTTAGCGTCGTGCGATGTGGATTCCGGGGAAAGGTTTGGCTACTAGCGGCGTGCATGGAAGTTCGCACCATGCGGAACTAGGGTGTGCTTTCCATTCGTCCCTGTCGTTTTCTCCGATGCCGGGACGGTAACGTCCCGCCGTCGTCCCTGAATCCTGGTTTATGCTTGCAAGCGCGACATTACTGGCTCATTGCACAGCGACAGATCGTCGGTCAAATTTCCACAAAATCCTTAACCCTAAACCCTACAACCATCCACGGTTCTCTGTCCGCGGGGCTCTGCCATGGTACTGAAGCCTGAAAGCCTGACATCCCTTAGAAAACAGCCACTGAACCCTGCACCATAGTCGGGGTTTAGAGTTTATTCGACATAATGTCGGGGCCTGCACAATTACGAAGTTGCCTCCTTAGGGCACCACCAAAGCATTAGTGAAATTACAGGACCAGGACCGAAGCTCTCTCTTCTCCGAAACTCCGACACTTGCAAGCGACCCTACAAGCCGTAAGCTCTAGACGTTATACCCTCAACCCTAGACCCCTAAAGCCCTGAGATGTGAGTCGCCGACTGGTGTCTCGATCCCATCCGCCAGAAAATGCCGCACCTCTGCTTTAAAGGAAACTAGAGGTGGGGAGTTTAGGGTATATAGGGCTTGTATAAGGCTTCTATAAGGCATATAGACCTTCGATAAGGCTCCTATAAGGGCAGCTACCCACCTGAAAATGTCCTAGACTTCTCTGCACCGTAGGGTCGCCTACATACTCACGCCGTTGAATCGGGCACACGGCTTAGGGTTTAGAGTTTAGGGCTTAGGCTTGCAGAAGTTTTTGCGTGGCCTTTCGGGTTTCGAATGGCCAGCTCCATGTGTAGATTATATATTGGAGAAAAAGGGCACCTAACAGTGCGAGGACTCACAGCCCCGACCAAACCTCAAAGCAGCCCTAATCCCCCGAATTCCGCAAGACCGCAAGCCCCTGACAATCCAACTCCCAGCTCCTAAAGCCCATACTCTACCTAAGGCCCTGGTCTTTCTGTAGGGTTGAGGGTTCAGGGTTTAGGCCTGTGAGGTTTAAGGTTTATAGAGTTTAGGGTTATCTAAGGCCCGGTTGAGGGTTCAGGGTTTAGGGCTGTGAGGCTTAAGGTTTATAGGGTTTAGGGTGAGCTTCGTCGGTTCAAGGTTTGGGCTTCCACATGTTTCGGCTGCGCCGGGTGCTGCGCTGCAGGACACCGGCATCGGGGCGCGGAGCGTCGGGAGATAGGGTTTAGGGTTTATAGGGTTTAGCTTTCAGGCTTTGGGGGTTTGTGTTCAAGTGTGGCTTGAGTTGAGGAAACTTGGGATGCGGCATCCGGATTTGCTGGCGTCAAGTCTCAGTGTCAGGCTTGGGATTTTGTGTTTATGTGCGTGTATATATATATATTATAAATATAAGTAAATAAATATATATATATATGTATATATATATATGTATATATATATATATGTATAACATTATGTGTGTATATATATATGTAGATACATATATATATATAGTGTCATGTAATGTAATGTAAGTTAATTTACTTTAACCCGAAAGCCCTAAACCCTGAACCCTAAAGCCCTAAGCCCTCGACGCTGAGCCCCCCCGCGGATTGACTACAAAGGGCTCAAACCCCAGAGTTGTCTGCAATCCAATGTCCTGAACCCCGAAATCCCAATAAGCCAATGAAGACCCAGTCTATGTGGGTAGCTCTCTAAACTAGGGTCCCTTTTAGGGTCCTTTCTATACGGGTACCGTACTATCTTTTGGAACCTAGAAGGGGACCCTAATTTAGAGAACTGGCCAGGCAAACGGAGCCAACACTATCTTACATGATTGTATATAACCATTCTCCTGGCAAGGTGCCTCGTTTTTCATCCTATGTGGGTCCCTGTTGCGTCGATGGTGGGCATCTTCCCTCAAAGCCTATAGCAACCACTGTACCCATAGGCCCCTAAGTAGTTCCTGTTTTGGGTTTACCTTACAGGATTCTTAAATATATACCACAAAATGGAACTACTTAGGGGCCTATGGGTAGGCCTAGATCCTTGAAACGCCCCGGGGAAACCTGCGATTGGCCAAGCCACGAGGAGCTGCCTCTCTCGCAAGCCCAGGAGCATCCAGTTGGATTTCAAAGATTGATAACCGGCCAAATCCTGCGGGGAGGCTCGTAGGGTTCAGCAATTATACTTTTATAGGGTTCAGGGTTGAGGGTTTCTGAGAAGATTGAAGATTGATCCTTCTGGGCATAAACGGTCAAAACAAGACTCAACTTCTATTCAGGGCTGAGAGGATACCTTCGGAGTCCCAAGGTTTATGGCGTAGCCGTTTTGGAGTTAATGAAAGCAGCCGTTAACAGGATGGAGACTGCACTACGGCGAGGGGCGGCGACAGGTTTGGGACTATTCTGCATTGCTGAGCTTAGCCAGTTTCTGCCCGAGGCTTGAGGGTGCAGTTTAGGGGTGGTTCGGTCACGGTTACCCATAGGCCCCTAAGTAGTTCCTTTTTGCGGCTCATATTTAGAATCCCACAAGGTATAAGGTAATCCCAGAAAGGAACTAGTTATGGGCCTATGGGTAATTACATAGGCCGTTTCGATCGGGCTCTCTCAGGGCTCGGAACACAAATTTACAGCACCAGCCATGTAAAATTCGTACACGCTGCTTGCTTGCAATTAGGCTTATCCATCATCAAATCATGCTTTGCCGTTTATCAAGACTCACACCAATACGCTTCCTTCCTCTCTGGCTACTGTTAGCAAGCAAAAAGAGAAGCCTCAAGAATAAGACTTTACTACTCTGTGTTCGTGTCACTACATGTCTCAGTCAAGTCCGATCCGTATTTGAAAGGCCTGCACTCGCGCCAAGCAGCCCAACCGCACCAGTGCGAAGTCCTGCAGACAAGACCGGGTTCTTGCGGAACTTAGGATTGGTTTGAGCTACCATAAGAGGGATCTATAGTAATTAAGTAACGAGGCATCTTATATTAGAACGGAAAGGGCCTGAGCAACTGAAGGGCCGTCTTCGATGCGATAGAGGTCTGGGGTCTAGGCTATGGGTCTTCTGGGATTACACAAATAAGCTGCAGCAATCGGATTGCTCAAGCTGGGAGCACTTATGCCTTGACCTCGAGATGTGGAACTGAAGGGCGCCGTCGAAGTGCACAGGCAGAACATTCCGACGTGACGAACACGAACACACAATCTTTGCAAAAGTGCTGCGCTTGGCTGAACAGGTTGATGTGCTTTGAGGCTGGCTGATGGCGGCTAATGTGTTGAGATTCAGAGCCATGATGGTAGAGATCGGGGTTCAGGTCCTCAAACGAGGGTGCATCAGCAGAGGTCTTCCTAAGAAGTCAAGGAGGTATTGAAGACCTGCTTTGAGGACGCCCAGGTGGGAGCGGATCCAAGGCCAAGGACCGCCGGCTCTTGACCTAGGGGGCTCCCAATACCCCAAACTAGGTACTATTACCATTTACGGACTTTAGACCACAAAGGAAGTAGTATTTAAGATTAGGGTTTAGGAGGAGTTTAGGGTTTAGGGTTTGGAGCCCTTGGGTAGCCCTTAGCCTTAGCAGGGCTTGATCGCCTTTTGCATACCCGGGATCGTGGAATCTGGAAACCCTTCACGGCTCGTTACCGAGAAACTCGAAGCCCTGTGGTACAGGGGCCTGAATACTGAGCTCAAGACTATTATTCTCGAGGCCATCCATGTATAACCGTAGCCAAAGAGTATACAACCCATCCAGACCCTCCAACAAGAAACGAGTCCAAGTATTCAGGGCCCCACAGCAAACAAGCCATAGACGTCCCGTCGAAACCTTGTTTGATGCACACCATAAAAATC